TAGTCATGATCGTCATCTTGAAATAATCGTTTGAGAAGAAGATCAAGATCTGTTGCTGTAACATGAAACTTCTCCCGGTGTTTTGTTTCAAGTCCATACTTTGGTGTCAATTCGTTGTGGATATACTTCAAATATGGTTAGTAAGCGTTGTGATTCAGGAAAGGGGTGAGATATCTAGAACATACATTGTAGACATCACTTTTGACACTCTTCGGAATAACTCTTGAGGTTTTTCTCTCCCACTCAGCAATAAAGCAGGATAAGTTATAATCCACACTATGTTGAGAGGGTAGGTCTCCTTCACGTAGACAGATAAAACTCTCAGAAAAGAGTTTTAAGATCTGGCTGGGAGGATCTGGCTCCACCTTGGAGAAATACCTGTCTTCAGGTTCACCTTGAGTCATCATCCATCTGAACTGGAGTCAGTAATGTCTGTATACATAGTATAAAAGTATTTTTATTACTTACATCTTCCAATTCTCAACAGCTCTGTTGTACCTTTCATCAGTAGCCGGAGCTCTCTTCTTGTGACATATCTCATTCTCTTTCCGTTTTGTGATTTGTTGGTACTCAGTAGTAAAACCACGTAATTCACCGATTTTCCGGAGCTCCTCAACTTTTCTCCGCCTCTGGTCCTCCTCGGAGAGGCTTGATTTGTTGTCACGTGACATGCCGAGTTTCGATATGGTATCACTTCTCAAGTTGTTTACTGAGCATGAGTATATCGAACAGAAAAAAAGGAATGGACAACCAGGTCAAACGCCCTATTTAACTTCCACATTTTTCTTGCTTGGTTGCCTGGCTGGCCCGCTTGGTCACTCGATCGCTCACCTATTTGCTCACCCTGCTCACCCCGCTCACCCACGCTCTGGACAGCATCACCCAAATCACCCGCACTCACTCTTCGTCTTAGCGTTGCTCACCCATAAAGCAGCGACTGAGAAAGGGCTCATATTCCACTCGGCCGCGTTCAATATGTGGCTTAAGTACGGCGGAGCGGACGGGAAGCCCTGTTTTCCACACCCTGTGGTCGTATGTGCTTGCTTATTCAGTCCTTTAGGATATATAGGTCTGTATTTGCGAATCTGATAGTTTTCTCATTAAATTTAGTCTGAATCAAGTGTCCGCAGAGCACACGCGGACAGAAGAGAAGTAAAGGTGGAAGCCCGAGCACATGCATCTGTGCTGACTACTGTACGTGCTAGGGTTTGGCTTGTGCGGCACGATCTACATCGTTCTAGATAGAGAGGAATCGATCCGCACATCGACTCTGGTCCCTCAGAAAGGATTCTCTGGAACATTCCTAGCTATAGATGACCTACAAGGTAACAAGGAGGGGCCGGGACTTTTCACTCATAAATGTATATCTTTTAGAGTCTACTGTTTGAGGAACTAATAGGCGGTGAGCGGCATCCTTGACGGCCGTCAACACATATATATTAAATATTCTCTGGTAATTCGTTGAATTTCCAGCTGATATATGCACTAATTCAGGAGCCTGGGGCTCTGGTGCAACACCAAAAAGCATTATATGTGTGCTAATTTCGGCGTCGGACTCCGTAGGTGTGCAAGGTATTTACGCTTTAGGTCTACAGGTGACCCAATGTTGGATGGAGGACGACGGGAATGAAATGCGGACACTGCGGCCACGTGAGACTCACTTGCCACGTTGAAATTGATTCTAAAAAAAAAAAAAAGAAAAAGGGAAAAATACATTCCATTTAGTTAGAACCCTTCATCACCAAAGCTTGCTCATCGCTTCTTCGACAAGCGTCCGCCTTGATCTGTAGATAGGGACTCATCTCGAGATCGGGCTCGGGGGTCCGAGTGCTACAACCGGCGGAACTTCGCGTGGAATTCTGGGTGGGATATTTGGATCGAACCGAGGTCAACCGGCCACGGTTGGTGACAAGACGAAGTAGCGGACGGTAACACGGCAAACAGACGCACTGAGATAGGCGCCTGCTTTGACCACGCTCCACAGAAGAAAGGTGAGGGTGCGTCCCTGTACCCCCCCCCTAAGCGAGCCCTAACTTCCCCCCTCCCCTTTTCTTGCTTACAGTGCTCAACTCTTCCTTTTTTGGCAGATACTGCTGTGGAGCCATATCTGCGCGCAGCGCTTGGAGGATCGCCTATTTTGGGACTCGCTGGTGTCCTCGAAATTGCGGGATGCATCGACCATTCCCGGCGCGATGCTGGCCGTGGGACTCTCCCCGGCCGACGCGGCCCCGTATTTGGCCGGGTCGCAGAGTGTGAGCATAGCGTGCTTTAACAGTACGACCAACGTGACGCTGTCCGGGGATGAGGCCGCCATTGATGCCCTAAAAGCCGTCCTTGACGCCGTGGGGATCTTCGCCCGCAAGCTGCGGACCGGGGTCACCTACCACCCCCACCACTTGCACTCGGTGACGGATGCGTACGCGGAGACCATTGGTGAGGTCGAGCCCGCGGAGAAGTACAGTAGCAGCAATCGCAGCAGCAGGGTCATCATGGTCTCGACCGTCTCGGGCCAGCGGGTCCCCGCCGAGACGCTGCGCGAGGGCAGCTACTGGGCGAGCAACCTGGTGCGGCCCGTTCGCTTCCTCCAGGCCTTCCGGGGTCTGCTGAGCAAGCGAGGGGTCGTCAAGAAGCTGGACGGCAGCCACCGGCTCCTGATGGACATCACCTACTGTCTGGAGATCGGTCCCCACGGGGCCCTGCGTGGTCCCACTCAGGAGATCCTCCAGGCGCAGGACCAGACGATGAGCTACCTCGCCCCGCTGCAGCGAGGCCTGGCCGGAGTGAACTCTCTCCTCCAGGCGGTGGGGCATCTGTGGTGCTTGGGGTTGCCGATTGATTGGACCCGGGTCAACCAGATCGGAGACAGGATGAAGAGGAGGAGAAAGTAAGGGTGATGCCGCCTTCTGCGTTGGTCTCGCTGGCCGACCTGCCCTCATACGCCTGGGATCACTCCCGGAACTACTTTCTTGAAAGTCGAACGAGCCGCAACCATCGGCTCCGCAACGAACCGCGGTCAAAGTTGCTTGGAGAGACCGCGGTGGACTGGAACCCGCTGGACGCGCGCTGGGGCAACTTCCTCATACGCTCCGAACATCCGTGGATCGAGGACCATCGCATCAACGGCACCGTCCTCTTCCCGGCCGCCGGCATGATGGCGATGGCCGTCGAGGCCATGCAGCAGCAGGGACAGCACCTCGCCGACGACCGAGCGATCCTCGGCTATGAGCTTTGCGATATCAGCCTCAGCACCGCGCTAGTCATCCCTGACCACGAGCGGGGCGTGGAGGTGCAATTCTCCCTACGCTGTCAACCGGGTGGAGGGGACCCCGGCAGCGGGCGAGACCACCGCGGCTGGTGGTCGGATTTCCGGCTGTGCGCGTACCTGGAGGGGAGCGAATGGGAGGAGATCTGCAGCGGCGCCATCCGCGTCGATTTCGGCGTCGCCCCGTCCGGGATTGGCACCCAGCGCGTCGCGGAGGCCCGCCAGCACCAGCGCAGCACAAAAGACGGCCGCCCCCGGCAGCCCGATCGTTAGCTGCGGGGTCGATTCGCTCCTCGCGGTGGAGATCCGGAGCTGGTTCGCCAAGGTCTTCCAGGCCGAGATTTCGACGTTCAAGATCCTGGGCGGTATGAGCTTTGACCGCGTGGGCCGGTTGGTGGCCATTCGGAGTCTGGTGAACAAGGGGTGGGTTGGATAGGAGGGCGTCGGATACGGTACTTACTGTGGTGGAGATGACATTCCGTAGGAGCAGGAGAACCGGAAGGATATATCTACCATCGTCTGCCGCTTGGGGGTGTTTACGTTTCCAAGTCGACTATCTGACGAGAACAAAAATGATTAGATTAGACTAACTGTGCGCATGGAGGTTGGGAGACTTGGAGAAGCATAAAGAATAAAAGGGAAACACTGGCATTCTGACATTGAACATGAACTGTAACGTAGTGGATAGTCCCGAGATTTAGACATTCAGGCATCGCGTCCGCCCTTGAGGTTGGTCGCGAATGAGCTCTGTTGTCTGGCGTGTGGCGGTTTCTGGACTGCTAAGAGCCTTCAACCTGGTGGTCAATCGCCTCCTCGCCACCCGACATGTGTCCGGTGCGCTCGGACAAGGTCGCAGGAAAGGGTCCACTGCTCGAGTCGTCCGCAAAATACGGATTCCGGTCGAAGTAGTCCCAGGCGCTGCTGGAATGTTGCGCAGGTTCCTCGGCAGCCTCGTCCCAGGTCCTGAGGTCCAGTGCTGGGGGGTCGAAGGTGGAGGACCTTGCTCACTGACCTCGTTCAACCACGACCGGACGTAGTCTGGATCCGTCAGGAGTCTCATGTTATATGTGCCGGGTCGAGAACCTGGGGCTGGGGCATGATCCTGCGTCTGCTTGGGCCACGGAAGTGCCTGTAGGGCAAAGTCACGGGTGTGTTGAAGGACGTGATCGATTAGATCGGGGCTGTCCAGGGATCCAGTCTCTGTGCAGAGGGGACAGGACGTGATTCCGTACGAGGTGAACCCGCCCGCATGGATGACATGAACGGCGTCTTTCTGGGGAATCGCGTCTGCGTGATGATCCCCTATGTGGGTGAGCAAGGTTTTCACGTTCTCGGTTGCGGTGCCCATGTCGCGGCAAATGGGGCAGAGCCATAGGTTGGGGCGATGGTCCATCTCCACATGGCGCTCCCAGTCTCTTCGCGTGCTGTACAGGACCCCTGGAGTCGGGCATCCTTCGGCGATGCAGATAAACGGTTGGATGTCTTTCAAAATATGTTGTCTGTGTGATGGGACAATCAGTAATCTCCGTAGTGAAGCAATGCCTATGACAGGAATGGTGCTTACCTCCATGCATTGGTGTCCGTAGCCATAGTCCCGGGCAGGTATTGGCAGCAACAAGGACATTTGAGATCATCGCCTGCTTCTGGGGGGCTTGGATACTGGCTCCCCTCGTGAGATTTAGCCGCGATCCGTGGTTGTGCCTCTCTCCGTCTGATGGCCACGGCGTCCTTGGCCAACTGCGAGACGAGAAAATCGACATTCCTCATTGATTTTTCGCTTCTCTCCACGGAGAGTCCTTGGCTAAGAGCATCCTTGAGCTGGTTGAGGTTATCCTGTAGACACTTTTGATCCGATTCTGGCAGAGCCTGAAGCCTAGCATCAAGCAATGTCTCCGTTGCGGCTGCGGCGCCCCATCCATCAACCCAGAGGTTAAAATCCGACATCCTGACCACCGCCCACTTCTCGCGCATGAGGTGGTCTTGCTGAAGACAGAGCTTGAATTCATTGCGGATAGCTGTGATCAAGCTAGTCCCGAGTACCTCTTGTTGGTCTCGTTCCGATGGGTGGAACTTCCGGGCTAAATAACGCTGTCTTATGGATTTCAGACGCTCATATCGTTGATCCCAATAGAGATCTCTGCTGCTATACATCATGATTCCGATCTATCGAGGTAGGGCTGATATGGATCCGGTTCTAACTGTATCAGTGAGGTTAGCAAGGGCAAGGATTTGGCGTCACTCAATCACTAAGAGGAGGCAACAGTGGCCTGCTGTCATTTCAGAAGCCCATGAAATTCAGAGTCGGAGGAGCACCTCAAAAGCTTCTGGCACTGAGTGTCATAAGGTACATAGGGTACCAAGCCACTTCTTCTTTGATGCTGAGGATACCCCTCTTTCTCTGCCTCAAAGCAGACCGTCTTACATACCTGGCCAAGATTCCAGGCAAATATCCTTCTCAAAGGGCTATGCTCCGCTGTTGCCAGTGGGCTCCGATTGACAAGAGGAACGATGTGTTGGGAAATACTTGTAACGCTGATCGGTGTAGATGGAGTAGCGCTAAGAATGAGAGAAAAAGGAGAATCAAGACAAGGCTTCATACGCGCACTAGATGCCTAAGGATGCAGGAAAGGACTTTTAGCCAGGTCACCAGCAGAAGTTAGACACGAGCCATGTCAATGCACTGGTTTGTCGGATTTCAGTCCACTGCCCAGAACATTCCAGCGGGTGGTTTTGACACAGCCTCGAATGATATCGAGAAACTCAAAAGGACCAGAGACACAGGCGGTGCACACACAGTACATTGGGTCTGGTCTGAACTCTCTTCTGGTAATTTCATGGAAAGATTGTACAGGGCTCTGCAAAATATTCTTCTCAATTATGCTCCGAGGAAAAATGCACCGGAGATGTGCATGGCCACATTATCGGGGTCTGATTGAAACATTGACAGAGCAACAGGCAGGAGCGGTGGGAGATTGAAAAAGGGGGAGGGTGGTCACCAAAAAGCAAAGACACATCCGCCAAACACGAAGAGTAAAACATATTGCTTACCAATACGATGCACAAGTCCACGGAAAGGGGGAAATGCAGCCTCACACCAGCTGTTAGAGTCGCTCCTGTCTAGCGTTGAGGGTCGGTTAGGTCAAAGTCCCCCGCTTTACCTTCCTACACCCAGAGAAGCGGTGTTCATTCATGGCGTTTGATCATCCCATCCTGTTGGAAAGTCTATGGAAAGGACTTGGGGACCAGTGCCCACCACAAGAAAGATTGGTAGAGCCTGCTGTCGTGGCCCTCTTGGTGGAATCATAACTCGAACATAACATATTACAATGGATTCACTATCTCCCATGAGTGACCCAGGCTATGAAGCCTAGAACTGTGCTTCTCTGACACACCAAGCCAAGGAGGTGTAAATGGTAGATTTAAAACAGGATCTCCGTCTTCAATGGCATCTAGGATGGCATAGGATTGGAGACAGGGGCTGGATTTACAAGACATCCCACTGACTAGGAATCCGAAGAATTCATTGCAAGATCTTCATCGCCGAAGGGATTGGCCAATGTCAATGGCCTTACAGATACGCAAAGAAGTGAAGCTCTGCCATCCAGTGAAAGACAGGGCATCGGACACTCAGGTAGGCGGTTTCTCTCATGTTGTCACAGGGCCCTGAGTAAGACTATCAAGCTGAGACTAAACTTGACATAGCGAACGAAATTGGCGAGACAAACTCGCGACAGCAACGTCAATGGCCACAGTAAGATTACCGAATCTGGTCGACAACTGCATGGCATCTGAGCTCCAGAAGCTGGAGGCGGTTTTTGAGTTAGGAGGATTGCCTTCGATATAGGAGAAAGGTTTTTTCTGTCTCCAGAACTACTGTGAATCGACTGCAGTTATACTCACTACAACTGATTTGAGATGTCTGACCAGTGAAAGTTTGTTCTCCCTATCTGTCAAGACATTGAAGCATTACTTAAAAGAGGTATATTAGTCGATCCCGCCGGTGCAGTTGCAAAATGACAAACGCAGGTCCCTGTCCGCAGTCTTGACTACCCCTAACCATTACCTCTATTCCCCCCGAGTGACATCCTCCTTTCTTTTCTGTTAGTCTAGCATCACTATCCAGAGCCAACTCCCTGAGCCGGGTGCAAAATGAAAGCCATGATTGCAACTTTTCTGGCTCGTTGGTTCAGACCCTGGATGGCCCAGCCATCGGACGACCTAGATGTGCCACCCCAGAATGACCCTGTAGAGGTCGCAATCTCTCTTAGCAAGGAAATGGGTGACCTCTTTGAGGAAGTAGGAGAAGAAAATGGCGGGCTTTCCGAGGAGGTCAATGCACTGTCGAAGAACCTTCTGAATGTCCACGAATATCTCGGTCGGATTCAAGAAAGTGCAGACCCAGACCCTAGAATTCGGGGTCTAGCGCTAGATCTTCTTCGCGCACTGAGGTGGATCAAGACGGTGAGCTCGGCAACACCCAGTATTATGACTCGATAAGGCTAATCCTAGATACTATATCAGTGGCCAGACCGCTTCGAGGCAGTGTGGCCAGGAGATGAAAATCTACCAACGATTGTGGAAGCCATCGGGAGACACCAGCAGGGCGATCCACAAGCAAGGATCACTGAGTTTCTGGAGGAAGCGCCGAGATTCCTTGTCTCGTCCCCCCTCATCACCGCTCGTTCGATCCTGGAGCTCGGCCAGTCCACTACACTTTCGGATGAGATAGCAATTCTGATGAGCGATCGTGGGGCGTCGCAAGGAGACAGCATTTCACGGGATACGGCCTTCACAAGCATTCTGTCAGCCCTCTGGGGTCTTTCAGTCTGCAAGGGCTGTGAGAGGTCCTCGACTGAGCAGGGCCACGTTGGCATGCTGTACCTGGGCAGGCCCGAGCGAGAGGACGGTGCGAAGAGCATGTTGGATGTGCTCATATCTCCGCCTTCATTGCAGTATTGGCAGGAGTTTGGGTGTATCACGTCCCAGGAAGAGATTACCTTGGCCAGAGAGGCCCACCTTGCCAAGATGGACGAGACCAACTTGTGTACGAAACTGGGTGAAGAGAACCATGCTCGCCTGCTCTTGGTGCTCGAAGACGGCGGATTCTCCAGGCACATCTATGGCTACCCATTGCACCATGAAGCCGCACCCGGCAGAGAGGTTCCCCTAAGCCGCGCTCTGGAAGAATACAGGCTCGACATTCCGCAGAAGATTGCGCTGTGCCATGCCGTCGCACGCGGGTTCTGGCAGTTGTATGAGACGAAGATGATGCTGGCGAAGTGGTCCGATACCACCATCTGGTTCAGGTCAAACTCCGACGACCCGGCTGCCCCGCTGCCATGCAAAGTCTTCATCTCAATCCCCTTCGCCCTCACTGAGCACGAGTTGGAGGAGTTTTCGACCACCGACCTAATCCACCGATGTCCCCGGATCTTTTCGCTGGGGGTTCTGCTCCTAGAGATCTGTCTGGGAAGGCCGATTCAGACGCCTCAGCTCCAACAAGATACGACGTTCTTCGTTCGTGAGATGAACAAAACCTTTTGCACCACGTCGAAGCTCTTCGGCGAATTCCAAGACGACAGCTGGACAGGGTACACGGGCAAATTTGTCCTAAGCCAGGCCATTGATGCGTGCGTTCAGGGAAGCATCTTCAAATTTCACACCACCATGGACATCTTGCAGAGACGGAAGATTCTGGAAGAAAAGGTTGTGAGGCCGCTGGAGTGGCTGGCGAGTTCACTACCCAGCAATTATAAGGGCAACAACCACTGCGAGAGAAAAGATCATTCGGAACCACCGCCGCCTTCCGACAGCCCAACTCTTGCCAACCCTAACCCTGCCGACCCTAGCCAGAGTGACAATAGTGACAATCCACCCCTAGTCTCTCAGCCCTCCGCTTCATCTCATGCTGGAGGTGTGCAGGAATCTCAAAGTTGGATGCAAAAACTGCGAGATATCAGTGTTGTGCGTCGAGACACTGCAATGACACCCACCCGTGTGGCTGTGCTAGATACCGGGTGCAACCTCGCGACGGCATACTTTCAGGGTCATGAGATGCGACCAGCTCAGATCAAGGGCTACAAAGATTTTATCACCGGTGCCGAGGGTACTCAGTCTATGAGCGACTCAGACGGGCATGGGACTTTCATGGCTACTCTCGTGGCAGAAGTCACACTGTTCGCGGACATTTTTGTGGCCAAAGTGGCAGAAGATACGGACATGCTCAGGAGCAGCCAGAAGAGAATCGGCGAGGTATGTAGACCCAGTGGGGGATTTTCTTTTTTCCTTATTTATGTTTTTCTTCCACATTTCCTGTTTCCTTCAACGCACGTCTCGTACGCAAAGGAAAGCGCCATTAACAGTCGACAGGCCATAAGATGGGCGGCCATCGAGAATGGATGCAGCATCATCTCGATGTCTTTCGCAGTCGACGACGCTGGAGAAGTCATTGAGAGAACCGTGATGAATATGGTATCAATAAGACAAGGGAGGATAATCTTCCTCGCCGCCGCGGGCAACAACGGCCTCCAAGCAGCCCCAAACGTGCCCGCAAGGCTGGGGAATGTGATCTCGATACGTTCGGCCGATTTCAAGGGAACAGCCAGCCCCAACAACCCTCCGTTGAAGGTGCCTTACTCGGGGCTATCATTCACCGCGATCGGCCAAGACGTACCAGAGAGGCTTTGTGAATACATGCCCCCTAATCGTAGGACGGGCTCGTCGGTCGCTACGGCGGTAGCAGCGGGGATCACTGCCCTTTTGCTTTCGTACGCTGTATACCTCCATCAGCAATATCCGGGGGAATTGGATGCCCAATCCCTCGCGCAACTACGAAAAAAGGACAGTATGGAGAGACTGTTTCATTCGATTTCCGGAAATTCGGACTCTGGATTGTGCTGTATCTGTCCAGACAACTTCTTTCTCCACAATCGATATACGGACAAAGAAAGAGCCAACAAATTCAAAAGGGCCGTGCGTGAACTCGTTGAGATAGATTCTCCTACTTCAAGCAGCTCAAGTCAATGATCGGTAAGGCGGAAACCACCGGATACCCAAGCCTCGTCATCCCCAATCAAGTGCACCTGGACCTTCTCCAATGGCCGGTTGATATCTTCCTCAAGAATTTGCGGATTGACCTCCAGGTACTCGAGACCCGAATCGCTGGCTGTCCCCGTCATAAAGGCCGCCCTGTGAGCAAACATCTTCTGGCCTACTTTGCCGTCGCCTTTGTCGCGGATTATATGCACTCGGTATGCGAAAACAATGTCGGGGGCAGTCTCATACGTATTCACGATGGTGCCTGCGGATCGCACTTCTGCCTCGAACCCTGCGGTAGGGACGGTACCTGTGGGATCGCTCGCAGAGGCGGAAGCCTGGCCCGAGGTACTGCTATCGTCTCGGGCAGTCACAGTGAACGAGCTGCTGGCAATGCGTACGCCCGTAACCACATAGATTGGGCGTGGGCGCAAAAACCCCGAGCTCATGTAGCTCCGGACAGCCGGCACTTCTAGGATTGCCTCCACACACCGATCACTGAGGGTCCGATCTAGAACCCACACCTCGTGCTCGGTCGATTGGTTTCCTGGAGATGTAACATTACGGAATCATACACTGTATGTGATACTGTGGCGGGCAGCCAGATTCCTTTGTTCGCTTTGTCTGTTTGAGTATTGATTGTTGACTTTGTTTGTTTTAGTTCTTTTATTTTTGATTTTATTTTATTTTTTTTTTTTAACTGCACTGCCCTTAATAGTCTCCATAGTTGTTTTATAACTTGACCTCAATGTGCTTGCGCATCCGCCATCGTTGGTCCCCACTGCAGCTAGGATATAGAGTACGTATGTGTACTGTACTGTAACTCTTCATACCTTACATCGGAACTCAATCTGGACCCGTGACAACAAACTTCGATTGTTGCCCTGTTGACCCCCCTATTGGTATTAATCAATAGTACAAGATGCATCCATCTATACTAGATGCATTTCGAGGCTAATTGGGCTCTACGTCCTCAAAATCTTCTCTAGTCGCCCTGTGGCCCGAGATATCATGTCTCCCTTCACCATATTGCCGAGCCCAATTCGCACTTCACCAGGGGACGCTATTATAAAGGGAAACTTGATAACAAGAGCGTTTATGGTATGCAGATAAAGGCTGAAGTGGTAGTCGATATTAAAGGCTGAAGTAAGACGTGAATCCGGGTTGCCTTTCTCAATCGTTCAAAGGGGTGATGAACATTGCCGTGATCCTGCCTACCGGAGCATTGTTTGGAGAGGATAAAAGATAACAAAACAGTGTGCGCCGACCACGGCCTTCGATACCGGTCAAAGAACTGATGAACCCACAGCCCTTTCTATTGCTGCTATAATGCCATTGTTCACAAGCTCTTGAGCGTTGCAGACTCACAACGACTGGTCGGGTCGCCGTGTACTTTTCAACAAAGCCCAGGATCTATGCTTTACAGAGGTATTGTCACAAGAGGGCTCTGGACGTCCCTACCTCTTTGTACCATAATGCTCTGCGTACTTACCTGTGACCATTGTCTTGATGTCTGCTTTCTCCAACAAGAAATCAATGACTTAACATTGTCCTCGAGCGAAGACGATTCTTTTCCCTCTTTCAGCAAAGACAAGACAGAGAAGGCATTGTGAATCCACCACCAGACATAGTGGGCTCATCTGCTTGGGATTTCCTCGAGGACAGATTGATCTATAAATACGTGGGGTTAGCTCCTCGTGAAACTGATTCATCTACCATCCTCCATCTTCAAATTCCCTCCCCCAGCCTTCAACATCCACCAACCATCTTTCGACCATCCAACCATGGCTTCTAAGAACACCAGCGCACAGTCTGGAAGTGGCCTTTCCCCACTGTCCGATGCCAAATCCCAGCGCATGTTCCAAGCGGCGCGTGAGTTTATTCGCACGTGTTGGCAACATGACGATGACCGGTACGACCCCCTGAGGCAGGCGGTCGCCTCAGTGATTCGCCATGAGACGCAGTCCATGCCGCAGTGGGAGGACGTTATAACCAGTCTTTTGCACCACGAGCATAAGGAAGTCGCTCGACCTTTCGGGGAGGAGCACATCTGGCTGATGAAACGAGCCATCGGTGCCCAGAATTATAAGTTGACTCGCTTGCTTCTGGACGGCGGTTTCCCGCCCCCGTCTGATCCACTGGGGACGCTTTTCGCACGGCCGTGGGACAAGGTCAATGAGGATTTATTGGAGCTGCTGATCTCTCAGGGGGCGAAGTGCAAGCACCCGGACTACTCCTCCTTCCGACCCTTGTGTCTCCTGCGCAACGAACGATGGATTCGACAAGCGTTGACGGACAATCCGGATTTCATGTTGCGCTCGTGCTCGTGGGATGAACCGGGGGTGTCTTTGTCTTTGTATCCGAACATGTCGCCGTGGAACTCGTGGGATCATGGGAGAGATCCGGTGGCGTCGAACAATTCCCACCGCCTGCACTGGATCATGGACTGCGTGCCGGCTCCGCTGGGAATTATCAAGGTGTTTCTGGATATGAATCCCCCCTTGCACTGGGGTCTGTCCTTGCGCACGGCCCTGGCAGCAGGGAAGCCAGAGGTGGCAGTGGCGATGGTCGCGAGGGAGGAGCAGTTCACGAAGCGAGGCTTGATACTCGACAAAGAGGTGATAGCGGCCGCCGACTTTGGCTATCCCAGCGTCATACAGGCCATCTTCGATCGAAATGACCATTCGAGTACGCGTGGTGGCAGCATTCAAGAGCTTTGGCTCAAGAGGGCGCAGCTCAGCGCTTACCAACGTGGGCGCCTGCATCGCAAGGCGGGGCTCATGGTGTCTGGTGTTCTAACGCCGCTCATAGGTGGCGCTTATCGCTTGGAATGTCAGAGTACTGATCTTTCTGAGTGTCCGGACTTATCAGATAAGTCGCTTGTGTTCTATTTAGATCGCCGCTCTATCTCTGCAACTCGGGGGGTGGAATGTGCTCTCTTTTCGGAGGCAGGATACAAGGTAGACTATTCCATTAACAATCGATGAGAGCCGGAATCGGTTGCCTGTACAGTACAGATCAGGTCTAGTCAACTTGGCGGGATGCTGGAAGGCTTGCGATGTTGCCGCACCGGGTTTCAACAGAAAGAATATCTTTGAATTAAATTGAATTCAATTAAATTAATTGCTTCGTGGCTTCAAAGGGAACACGACGGTTTCACATGAAGCATCGTCAGTACAACAAGCCAGATAGATAAATGAATGACAATTAACTTGTTATTGTGGACTGACGACAGTGTGCCGCAGCGAGCCAGGGAAAGCAGTTGTTTGGCGGTGGCAGAAAGACCGGTAAAGCGGCCACCCTAAGTTACACGTGACCGTCCGCTTCACCGCTATGGCCGGCAGAACGCCCCGCTGGTACAGTAACTACTACGTATGTAGGTTTGGGCGGTGGCAGAAACAATCCCCCCGTAACATAGCAATGATTTGAATCTTCAACACAACAAATCTACACCTCGTGTCTATTTCAGCTAGTTACGTGTTGGAGCACTTTTCTTAGATGTCTGAGCACTTCCTCATGTCCTTGAGCGGTCAAATCTGAAGTTACTTATCATGAGAACGACGTTTAGTGTCGAAAACTAGACGTAGCGACCGGTGACTCCAACATCGTCTTTCTCCAACTCTCGCTCCGACTCCAAATCGGCCACCTTCTCGCTATCGCTCGCATCGGCTTTCCAGGCTACCGTTCGGTTAGTCGCATTCTGCAGCCCTGAGAGCAAATAACTTACTGGCGAATTTTCGTGTCGGAATGCGGCGTCGCCACATTTCTTCCAGCTCCTCCAAGGAATGACCCTTCAACTCGGGCAGGAAGAAGTACCCCAAGATCACCCCGACCGCTGAAAGGCCGCCATAGATAAAGCCAACCTTAGACTGCAGGTTCGCATACGGCGCATTCAGCAGATACGGCAGGGAATACGAGACAGCAAAATCGCACACAACACGGATGGTCCACGCCACGAACGAAGTCTGATCGCGAAGACGCAGGTGTGGGGTCTCGGCTCCTACGATGACGGCGCTATCGCACGAGTCAGTATGGTGTCTGGGAAGAGAGGCACGGAAATACTGTACATGGAACCAAAGGACATGATGTAGAACAGGCCGTACATCATAAGCACACCGCAGACGCCTCGCTTCTTGTCGTCGGTAATCATCCCGGTGCCCAAGCCACCGCAGGCGAACAGCAATGCAGTTGTCATGACTCCTCCGATCAGATAGATCGGCCGACGGCCGGTGGTGTCTACAAGGGAAAAGGTGATTAGGGGCCCGATACAGGTCAGTGCTCGGGAGATCATGGCGAAGGCAAATGGGTTCATGACGTGCAGCGACTTCACGAAGAGAGTGCCGTATTGGCTCACGAAGCTCTGCCCTGTCACTTGATTGAAGATGGCAGTCATGACTGCAATCATGGTGCGCCTCTGTGTGTCTTGTCAGTAGGTGTGTGTCTCCAGGTGTTGACTTGTCTCACCAGATTGGTTCCCTGAAGCAATTCCAGCCAGGTACCCTTCGTCTCGGCGTCTGCCTCGATCGATGCTTGCAGCACCGCCACCTCTTGACCCACGTCCACTTCCTGACCCTTGTATAAGTCCCGAAGCTGCTTAGTGGCGGCCTCGACCTTGTTCTTCCGTACCAGCCAGCGAGGACTCTCTGGAACAAACCACGAACAAAGTAGAATGAAGCACGGGAACGTCCACATCACGCCGATTGGGATCTTCCACGAGGCATTGCCCTCCATCTTGGCCGTTTCGTAGGTAATGATTGAGCAAATGAACGAGCCGAAGATATGAGCAAACACATACACCACCACCGTGGCGCCGCGGATGGCGGCGGGACTGATTTCCGCCAGAAACATGGGTACCAGCCAGCTCTCCCATCCAATGAAGCACTGCACTACCATTCGACCGGCCAGGATCTGCCCAAAGGATGTGGCAGTATAGCTGATCGCAATGCCCGAGATGCATAAGAATTGCATGCTGATGAAACAGAGCCGGCGGCCGAAGTACTCGCCCACAAACCAACCCAGCCCGGTCCCAAACGCTTTCGCGGGCGAACCAAGCGAGTTGAGATAGGCGAGATGTTTTGTGGTATAGCCGTATTCGCCTGTTGCGGAGTTGTACGATCCGAACTGCTTTTCAAAGGCTAGTTGAGGTTAGCTGGCTATTGTCGATATTAGGCTCAAGCTCCCCTACCATCCATGGTTTGAATGGTTGAGTATACCGAATCGTCAAACCCATAACTAAAAACACTCAAGCCAATGAGCATATATGCTACCAGCATGTTCCTGGTCACCAGACCGGACTTGAGCTTGAAGCTCCCAAAGGTTGACATCGTGTGGTTGAGGAGAGGTCAATCTCCGCTCACAGTGATCTGGCATATACTCATCAGAATGATTCCTACCGCGGCCATCCATCTTTAATAGCTTTGAGGATATATTCGTCACCATGAGCCGCGATGTTGCGATAGTTGCCCCAGATTCCGTGGGAGGAAGATGTTCACGGTTGATGGCCGCCCATGAAGCCAAGATGCAACTAAAAAAAAAAAAAAACACTAAGCGACCGAGAGCCGTAGCGCGACCGACAGCCGTAGCGCGACCGACAGCCGTGGTTTTGCAACCGCTTATTGGAATGCGGATGAAGCCATCATTTTAAGTGATGGCAACATCGCCACTAAACCCCCGCCCTTCCCGCACGATCCCAGTGGAGATGAGATGTTTTGTGACGGTCATCATACATAACAGTCCGCACCTGCACTGATAGCGTGTGATAAGCCAGATGCCTCCGACTTCGATCATCATGCCATCTACAAAGCGCCCGAATTTTCTGATCATTGTTGCTGATGACCTCGGGTTTAGCGACACCTCCCCTTTCGGAGGGGAGATTCACACGCCCAACCTCCACCAGCTGGCACAGGAAGGTCTGCGGATGACCGACTTTCACACCGCAGCGTCATGCTCGCCAACTCGCGCGATGCTTCTCTCAGGCACCGACGCTCACATCGCCGGACTCGGGGTCATGGCTGAGCGACGGAACCGGTTTCCTCATATCTTCGATGGGAAGACAGGCTACGAGGGCTACCTGAATTACAAGGTGGCCGTATTGCCTGAGATATTGCAGGATAACGGATACTTTACATGCATGTCCGGGAAATGGTGCGTATGCGATCGTGTCACCGAGATTCCGTAATGTGGAGGGTAAATTCTGACCCGTGAACTGATGGCGATACAATCGCAGGCATCTTGGTCTCACTAAGGATGTGGCGCCCTGCTCTCGAGGCTTCACTAAAGTCTTTGCCACCTTGCCTGGCGCAGGCAATCACTTCAACCACGAACCGCAACTCTACGACACAACAGAGAAACCACGGGTCATCTTCAGGGACAAGGAGGGACTGTGGATGCGCGACCATAAATTCATTAACGGCGCAACAGATCTACCCGAAGACTTCTATTCCTCAAACACCTTTACCGATAATCTCTTGTCGATCCTGGGAAATCGGACAGAGATGCAGAGAGAGCAGCCGTTCTTCTCTTATCTCGCCTTCACAGCGCCGCATTGGCCGTTGCAGGCGCCGCAAGATACAATCCGGAAGTACAAGGGCTGGTACGACGACGGGCCGCTTGCTCTGCGAAGTCGTCGCTTGAAGAGCCTGATCAAAAATGGTCTGGTACCAGAGGGGGTCAATCCGGCTCCAATCATCACGCTGGGGACTACCCCCTGGGACGAACTCACTGACGAAGAGCGGCGGAAGTCGAGTCGGACGATGGAGATTTATGCCGCCATGGTCGATGTCATGGATGAAAATATTGGGCGGGTGCGACAGTACCTAGAGTCGACCGGGGAGTGGGACGATACCTTCCTGATTTTCATGTCCGACAATGGGGCCGAGGGACAGCTGCTGGAGGCTATTCCGGTCATGGCCGGGAAGACAGTGGGGGATGTGATCGAAAAATACTATGATAACTCTTTGGAGAACCTGGGCAACCACGATTCATTTGTATGGTATGGACCGCAGTGGGCGTCGGCGGCCACAGCACCGTGCAGAGCCACCAAGTCTTTCACCACAGAGGGTGGTATTCGCTGCCCGTGCATCGTGCGGTATCCGTCGATGATGAATATGGAGCCGGGGGCTATCACGGAAACGTTTACCACGGTTATGGATGTGCTTCCGACCGTGCTGGATCTTGCGGGGTTGCACCACCCAGGGACAAATTTTAGGGGAAGAGAGGTAGCCCTCCCAAGAGGACATTCCTGGCGCCCGCTCTTGAAGTCAGATGATGGGAGGATTGATCTGTACGAGTCCGATGTCGTGGGATGGGAACAGCTGGGCATAGCCGCTGTCCGTGTCGGTCACTGGAAGGCCGTGTTTCTCCCTCCACCACGCGGAGAGGGAAAGTGGGAGCTGTACGATCTGTCTACTGATCTGGGTGAAGTGCATGATCTGGCGGACAGCCATCCGGAAAAGCTGGGGGAAATGATTGCACATTATGAAGCGTACTTTCAGAATTCGGGGATGTTTGACGCGTATTCTTTGTTCCAGGAAGAACTCAAGAAAAACGGCTCAAAGAGGAATTGGTGATGTTCGGTGGACATCATCTAAGGGTGAAATACGAGTAGAATGCACGCCTACCTAGTACCTGACGATCGGATAAAGATCCCTTCCAGCGTTTCGCCTCTGTTCCTATCAGATGTCTCCACATTCTCCACATCAACTACAGTCTACAGGTACGATACAGTACATGGCGCACTGACGCCTTTGTGGCTCTCGGTTGCGCCATCGCCTCCACGAGTCCGCAAAGGAACCCCAAGTACTCCGCATCTGAGGTGGATTGATGCTCAAGAGCACCTACGAGGTGCGATCTGACTCTCTTTTCATACTCATGGCGACCTCTTTGACTCGACCGCGCTCGGATCCGTGCTTCCAGTGCCGGTCACGTAAGGTAGGCAGCCCACGTTGATATCGTTGATAATGTCGTCATGTCCAAGCTAAGCCCATATCTAGGTTCGATGTGATCGCAAATTCGACATCTGTAGCAACTGCGAGCGGTTGAAGTATACATGTTCTTTTCAGAGATCAGCATCGCGTTCAGAAAACTCCCAGCGAAGGAATGAGGATGAGCCCGACCGTCGTCGAGCGGCACGAGCATGCCTGCGATGTCGCGCGCAAAAGTCTCGTTGCTCGGGAGAAATGCCCCAATGTGACAATTGTCAAAGGCGACATCGTGACTGCCATTATCCGGGGTCAAAGCGAGCTGGCACCTTCTTGAGGAAGGGCACCGACCATGCTTCGAGCGCCGAGAGTCACCAGAAAAGGTACGTATGTCAGTCTATTGATTTGCGTCACTGGCTCATGCTTATTTGACTTCAGTACTTCTCCGCTTCAAAGCAAGCAAGAGTTGATCAAGTTTCTCGACCTCTACTTTCGGTACCTATATCCCCTCCCAGGGTACAGCTTCCTACATGAGTCCTCAATTCGACGAATGTACTCTGAAGAGAGACTGGAGGAAAGCCTCGTGCTTGCCATCTGCGCCATTGTCAATCTGCGATGCCCGTCCTCAGGGCGAGTCTCCTACGATAGCGCTTCCTGGATTGCACGGGCTGAAAGTCGCATCCTCAACCAGCTCGAGAGGCCGTCAATCTTTCACTTGCAAGCTCTGTTTCTCATCATTCACTATTACGCCGAAGTGGGTGGTTTCGGGCAAGCATTCATGCTGGCATCGCTCGCTAGTCGCCAAGTAACTGCTTTGCGTCTCAACCACGAAAGTCCCCATCTTGGCTTCGTGGCTCAAGAGACCCGCCGCAGAGCTGCGTGGACGATGGCTCTACTTGATGGATACTTCTCGGTCGGTCTTCCGGGCTACAGCACCATCGACTATGGGGAGATCTACCAGCAGTTCCCTTGCCGCGAGGAAATGTTCGGCTCGCCGATACCGGAGTGCATGATCCGTCGTCCGTCTGGCATCCGGACCGATCAGTCCCCGGCCTCGCACGGTACGCTCGAACTCATCTTGCGTCTGTCCAAAGTCCGTCGCGATATCATTCGCCTGACTCGCCAACTCGCCCTAGTGGAACAGCCCGTCGTTGATCTTGATGCCATTGCTCGAGGCTTTCAGACAAGTCTGTTGCAGATCGGCGCCCAAATCACCGCGTCTTTTGGGACCCCTTCTCTGAGCCATGCTAATCTCCAGTTCCAAACCCAGCTACCATCGCGGTGGCTGGGACGGGTCCTCGAAATCCGAGTCGCATGGCACCAAGCGCAGTGCGATCTGTTCCGGATATTCCTTGCCAGCCATCCCAACGCTGCATCTTTGACGATTCTTAATTCCTTGAGCTCCAGCCCGTTCGTCCTTCAAGCCCGGGAAAAATGCCACCAGCACAGCACGTGTATCATCGACTCGATCTTGCAGAATGAGGCTCTCATTCCTCCAACTTCATTCTCTGTGGATATCGCCCGGTGTGTTTACCACGCGGCGCGTCTGTGTCTCCATCTGGCCCGGGATTCAGGTCAAAAAGGATCAGGGGACTCACTGTCCCTGCCGCTGGGCACGGCGCTAGAGCGGGCATCCTTGGCCATAGCCTTCTTGCAGCGGAACTTTGGGCGGGCGGCTCATGCGAAGGGGATGATCTTGGATCTCGAGGTGTTGATCGAAGCGTGCAGTAGCCACCAGTCTAAAGAGGCGAGAGGATCGAATCCTGATCGGCTGACTGGGTCGGATGGGTTTGAGCGCCATCATCAGCTAGCGGTGCATAGTCTTCTCCATCAGGCGGAGTTTGTGGATGATAGCTATCTGTATGATGGGTAGTTTCAGCACTACAGTGTGACAGGATGAACATGGAATTGGTTCAGCCTGATTGGAGTTGGCCAAGACTATCCTCGAGTAAGAAATCCGATGGCAGACGGTTCGGTAGCCTTCACTCTCGGGTGTACGACGAAATCAAGCTACTGAATGTCTAATCTCTGCGGTAGGACGTTTAAAACAGATAACGGTTGTCAATCTATGCCTGCCAAACCAGTCTCCCGAAACACTCAAAACGAGACGAGATGACCCATAAAAAGCCAACTAAACCTCCACCAAATAAATCCTGCCCTCATACGGCTGCAAAATATCCTCCCTCTCCTCCTCATAATTTTTAACCAACGTCTTCCTCGCTTTCCCATGGAACTGACCCTCCAACGCCACCGGCTGCACCTCCCCAGTAAAGTTCAACGCCACCATCAACTTTTCGCTCCGGCCCATCTTTTCAAAGACGAACACCGCCTCATTCTGCGGGTCGGTATCCCGAAACACGCCTCGCGCAAACACGTCCGGATGCTGCTTCCGGACGCGCACCAACGCCCGCCAAAAATTCAGCACCGACCCGTCCTCAAACACCTGGCGCTTCACATTCACCGTGGGATAGTTGTCATGCACGCGCATCCACGGCGTGGCGCGGGGGTCCGTGAAGCCGGCGTGCGGCAACGCATTCCATTGCATGGGCAGGCGCGCATGGTCGCGGGCCAGGTAATCCAGGGCCGCGCGGGCCCTGCGGAGGGCGCCTGGGTTGTCATCATCATCGTTACCCGCGGTCTCCCGCACGTAGCGGTAGTAGTTGATGCTGTCGACGTCCTTGTACTCGGCCACGTCCCAGGCGGGCGGGGCGTTGACCATGCCGATCTCCTGGCCCTGGTACAAGAACAGGGTCCCGGAGAGGCTGGCAACCAGCATGGCGAGCATCTTGGCGCTCTCCGCCCAGTGCTGGTCCGGATCGCCCCACCGCGAGACGCTGCGCGCCTGGTCATGGTTTTCGAGGAAGGCGGTACTCCACCCGTCCGAGGTGCCGTCCATGAGCGTCTGCGTGGCGCCCACACGCGCGCGCAAATCGCTCAGCGTCCACGTGCGCGGCACCGTGTCGAACCGCTGGTCCGTGCCCATGTTGCTGTCCACCACGTCGAACTGGAACACCATGCTGAGCTGGTGCGGGGCGGCCGCGCTGACGTACTTCAACACGTCCGGGAGGTGCGGGGTGTTGGGCAGCTCGCCGACGGTGATGGCGTCGCCAGCCGGTCTGTGTCTCCGGAGGATGGTGGTCATCTCCGCCAGGAACTCGGGCATGCGCGGCCCGTTGCAGAACAGGTCCGCCGCCGGCTGGTAGCGGTTGGCGGGGTCGCGCACCGGCGCGTCCGGAAAGTCCGGCGGCTTGCTGTACATGTTCACCGTGTCGACCCGGAACCCGTCGATGCCCTTCCGCAGCCAGAATTCCATGGCCGACGCGTACAGCGCCTGCCGTGTGGCCGGGTTCTCCCAGTTCAGGTCGGGCTGTTGCTCCGCGAACAGGTGTAGGTAGTACTCGTCGGTGGCCGGGTCGAAGGTCCACGCGCTGCCGCCGAAGAAGCTGCGCCAGTTGTTCGGCGGGTGGCGGGCGCCGGTGGCCGCGTCGTAGCGCGGCGGCCGCCAGATGTACCAGTCGCGTTTGGGGTCGGTGCGCGAGGACCGCGAGGCCTGGAACCAGGCGTGTTCGTGCGAGGTGTGGTTGATGACGAGATCCAGGAGGATGCGGAGCCCCCGTGCGTGGCACCCCGCGATCAGGGCCTCGACGTCCCCCACCGTGCCGTAGGGCGCGTACACGGCCTCGTAGTCGCGGATGTCGTACCCCATGTCGTACTGCGGGCTGTCGTACATCGGACACACCCAGATGGCGTCCACTCCCAGCGACTGGATGTAGTCCAGCTGGCTGAGGATGCCGGGGAGGTCGCCGATGCCATCGCCGTTGGAGTCTTGGAAGCTGGCCGGGTAGATTTGGTAGATGGTGGCGTTTTTCCACCAGGGGGTGGTCGACATAATGAGAAGACAGAATGTATAGGCAGGGGGAGAGGGAGAGGGAGGGGATAATGAGTGAAAGAAAAGGCAATAATAGTAGCTGGCAACAAGCAAGCAAGCAAGCAGCAGCAGCTCTCTTATCTATGGCACTGTGCATCTGCATGGCTCATACAACACATCGCTCTCTCTCCTCCCCCCACTTTGCAATCGATTGGTCTGAAATCGGGCCGAGATGACATTTCCCCGCTCTCTCCACTTAGGGCTAATTCATTGGCTTGACGTCGGGCCGAGATGGCGCTTAACACGGTTGCTGCTGTCTTCTGCCCATTAGACGGTTTGACCCCCTTGCTTCTTCCACGAGCCAGACCGGTCTAAAGAAGGCCTACAAGATTAGGGTAAACCTTGTCGACTGGAACTCTCGCGTGGCATCAGCCCTTTTTTTCGGTCTGATTTCCTCAATGTCAGTTCGACGTCGTGGGGAATGGATGAGGTGGTTGAGGTTTACCTGGGATCTGCCCTAACCCGCTGAACGAGGGAATGCGGGGAGGCTGGGTTTGATGTCCTTCATATATTGGGAGGTCGAATAACCGTGCGATTCATCGCACTTGTGATCGAGAATGCAGATTTAACTCTCCACTGCTTCGTTTCCATCAAGGACGACCTCCTCCCAAATCCAATCCACAAAGATGACCACCATCACCTTACCCCCCGACGAAGCCGACGCTACCATCACTCGCGGCGATGGTTTGGGGGGGGGAGGGGAGGTCCTTCGCTGGGCATTTTAGACCTTGTTTGAGTCTACAGGGAGGACGGGTGCGGAGTTGTAGGTTTTGCTCGAACAGGGGGAGGATGGCGAGGGGTTTGAGACGAGGCTGTGGAGAGGGTTTAGGATGTTAATCAACTGGGATAGTCGGTGCAGGATAGGCGGGTGAATGTGTGTTGGTATTATTTATTAGCGTTGTACATAATTTGGCTCGTGGTGATTGTGGATGTTGATATACATGAAAAGCATTCATCTAGGTGCGCTTCAAGAAGGATGGCCAGAACAGCCATCAAGGTGGTTACTCCTGGGATGACGCTCACCCGCTATACTGAAGCTGAAGCTGCATCGGTGAATAATGCCCCGGCTGCACTGCCTGTCGGGCTTGCGGGAGTGGATGCCGTTACCAAGGCAGAGGTCACCTGTGTGCTGGTCTGTCTGGTTAAGCTGGAGGCGACTGCACCGGCACTGTACTGACCGGGGTTTCCCTCTGGAGAATTGGCAGCCGGTTGATTTCCGAAGATATTCCCGTTGTTGCTATCGCTAGAGGAGGATTTGGTGGATGACGAGGCAGAGCTCATGGCAGAGGCTGTGCTGTTAGCAGCGTTGCCCGCGCCGGTTGAACCAGATACAGCAGATACACCTTCGGGGGAGGTGCCAGTGCCTGATGACTGGGTAGAGGGTTCTGCGCTGCTGCTGCTGCTATTGCCGGAGTTGTTGCGGTTGCTGCCAGTGCTGTCGCTGCTACCGGTTTTGCCACCGATAACATCGTTGCGGCCTGCACGCTGGCGGGCGCGGACACGGTTCGTAGGTCTCCGGGCAGGAATTCACAGGAGTGAGCTACAGTATAGTAGTTGAAACCGCTGCGTTGGGTAGAGTAGATGGTGCAGTAGAAATAGCACTGGTAGGCATCAAAAATTGGCATGTAGGCCGGAACGAGAGTATGTTGGACGCCGCCAGTCACGGACACCCCCGAGCAGTATTCGCGCCAGGTCGCTGTACCCTGTACCCATGCTACTTCCGAGCAGCCATTGTAGGAAGGGGTCGACTGGACGGTGCAGGTGGTGGCCGTGGTCACGACAGGGACCAGGCTGCTGCCGGTGTGGGTGACAGTGCTGGCATAGGTCGAGGTTACTGTCACCACCCAAGCACCGACAGCCGTGGCAGCCGAGACTGAGATTGTTAAAGCGAGACTGCTGGCTGGCATAAATGCCGCCGCACGGGCTATTTGTCGAGGAGACCACCGACCCATGGTGTAAAGGAATGAATGAGTGCGTGATTGAGTGAGTGACTACCAATTGGGTCAAGGACAGAAAGGAAAGAATGAAAGAACCTCGCAATGAGGTCGTGTGTGAGAGAATCCTGAAAAAAAGGATGAAAGGTCTCTGCCCGTCCAAATCGACAAATGGGTTGGGGGTCTGGTCTAGAAATATCGAATCTGGACCCCTGACGGCCGGGCCCGATCTCATCACATCCGTCGGGTATTCTGCCCAAGATTCGTATGTGGACCCGATGTGATCACTGGTCTATATGTAGTTCCGGTGGCGAACTGACTGACTTGTGCTGCATGGTGGTGATAAATGGACTCGGAGCGAAATGGGGAGTGAGTGACTGAGATGGCAAGAGTGTGTCAGGGCAATTCCGGTCAGCTGACATGTTGTCTGTAGTTATAAGCTCACGAAAAACCTCACTTCGAACCCGTCACCACCAAATGCACAACAATTCAACCACAGACGCTTCAGCATGCCCGACAGCGATAGTCAATTTTCGACTTAGTGTCAGGAACATTTATTGTCTGCTCGGATCGCTCAAACTTTAACGTCAACAACCCCAGTGGTAGGTTCTGCAATTTGCGGGATGAGTACGCAATCTCCTTCAGGGACAGACAATCATGCACGCGCTGCACGATCTCCACATCCGCGGCCTTTAAAGTCATGTACAAAAGGAAGGTTAGTGATAACTCATGTTCTATTGGTACTTGATTCCAACATGGAGGGCCCTCAGATAATCAATAATGAAATGTGCCCCTAAGCAAACACACGACCGTAATAAAACGTGATCAGGTACTGCTTTCATCTTTTTCGGTGAGGACATACAGAGCCCTTGATACCAGCTTCTGAGATATTCCAGCATGAGTTAGGATTGGAGAGTGTGAGTTTCAATACCAATGACCATTATGTATATCTATTCCTCCCAACGATAAAACATTCTATACAATACAAAATCGACATGGAGAGTCTCCGGTGTAAAACAACCCCGAGCAACACAATACCACCCAACCAAAACAACCACCCAACTCCAGTCAGCCCCCAAGGGAAAAGCAACCCTCTATAAAACGCAACCACAATTCCAGATCAGTCCTTAACAAACCCCTCCCACCTCGGCAACCCCTCCACCTCCAACCCAAACAAATCCAACACCCGCCCAACAATATGCTCCACCACATCCGCCAACCCGGCGGGCCGCGTGTAGAACGCCGGCACCGGGGGGAACACGATGGCCCCATGCCGCGTCACGCCCAGCATATTCTCGAGGTGCACGCTGCTCAGCGGACACTCGCGGGTGACCAGCACGAGGCGGTGGCGCTCCTTGAGCATGACGTCGGCGGCGCGGGCGATCAGGTCCTCGCCGTACCCGACGTTGATGGCGGCCAGGGTCTTCATGCTGCAGGGGACGACGATCATACCGTCGACGCGGAAGGAGCCGCTGGCGATGGGCGCGGCCAGGTCGTGGTTGCTGTACGCAAAGTCGGCGAGCGCGCGCACGTTGGCCACCGTGTAGTCCGTCTCGTACTTCAGGGTGTTCTCGGCCCATTTGCTGAGGATCAGGTGGGTTTCGACGTTGAGGGCCCGCAGGGCCAGGAGGGCGTGGATGCCCAGAATGGTGCCGGTCGCGCCGGTGAGGGCGATGATGATGCGTTTGCGGCGGGCTGTTAACGTGGTTGTTCGTGGGGTGGTGGGAGTGGATGTGGATGTGGACATTTTGAGTTGTCGTGAGGGTTGAGGGGGTGGATTGGGAGAGGCGAGGATTTGATTGAGGGAGTTGGATTATCAGGAATGTCTGCAGTGACTTGGCGGTGTGCAGGGTTTATGTAGGCCTTAGCACCGCAGTATTAAGAGGTGATCGTCTCCTGAATGTGATGCAATCCCCGTTTCCATTACTCAAGCCGCGCGGTGGTCTCGGGAGTCGGCAGCAGATTGCGGGGTGAAAGCGGGGCATGGCTAGACTCGATTTGGTACTTTTGCAGCAACTGGCGCTATATCAAAGATATTAATCTCTCTTGGCGCGTATAGCTTGACTTCAGAGCACGATGTGAAGGTTCAGATTGGCCGACTTAGGGCTGATGAGTCAGCGGCATGTGGGGCTCGGGCCATTCGGCCTTACCACGCTATCCCCGGCTGGGAGATATGTTCCGTCCGCGGCCATGGCCTGGGGTACCGACCTCAGGCACCGAATGCCGACTCAACCCTATAAAAGGGGACGCAATCTGTCATACCCAACTCTCTCACAGACTGATCTGTATTCTCCAACATGGCCGAAACCACCCCCCAAGAATCCAGCCTGTCTGCCTGCGCCAGCTTCCGGCGCTTCATTCAAGACCTGCAAGCCGAGAACGACCTGGTCGCCATTGACGAGGAAGTCGACCCGGACCTGGAGCTGGCAGCCATCACACGCAAGGTCTACGAGACCGAGGACAAAGCGCCGCTGTTCAACCACCTCAAGGGTCGCCACCCGAGCGGTCTCTTCCGCGTGCTGGGCGCCCCCGTCGGCGCCAGCAAGCAGCCGGGCAAGCGGTTCATCCGCATCGCCAAATCGCTGGGGCTGCCATCCACCGCAAGCGGACAGGAAATCGTCCACAAGTTCCGGGCCGCTAAGCACCTGCCCCAGATCCCGCCGACGGAGGTCCCCACGGGGCCCGTCAAGGAGTTCAAGCTGTTGGGCGATGAGATCGACCTTACCGCTCTGCCCGTCCCCAAGCTGCACGCCGACGACGGCGGCAAATTCCTGCAGACGTTCGGCATGTACATCGTGCAGAGCCCCGACGGGTCGTGGGTGAACTGGTCGATCACGCGCAGCATGCTGCACGGGAAGCGCACGCTGGTGGGGCCCATGATCCCCCGGCAGGACATCGGGGTGATCCGGCAGATGTGGGCCGACTTGGGGCAGGACTGCCCCTTTGCGCTGTGCTTCGGGGTGCCCCCCGCGGCGATCATGGTGAGCGGGATGCCGCTGCCGAAGGGGGTGAACGAGAGCGAGTACATCGGGGCGTTGATCGGGCGCCCCGTCGAGGTGACCAAGGCCGAAACGAACGACATCCTCGTCCCGGCGAACGCGGAGATCGTCTTCGAAGGGTCCATTTCGCGCACCGAGACCGCGCCCGAGGGCCCCATGGCCGAGTACCCGGGGCTGATCTTCCCAGGGGAGCAGAAGGAATGTCCGCTGCACAAGATCGACGCCATCACCTACCGCCGGGACCCCATCCTGCCCATCTGCGTAACGGGCCGCGCGCCCGAGGAGAGCGAGACGGTCTGGGGGCTGACGCAGGCGGCGGAGGTGCTGACCATCTGCGAGCAGGCGGGGCTGCCAATCACCATGGTCTGGAACCCGTTCGAGTCGCACTGCCTCTGGTTCGTGCTGCAGGTCGACCGCGCGCAGCTGCGCGCGCGCCACACCACCATGGAGGCGTTCTGTCGCGAGGTCGGCCACACCGTCTTCGCCTCCAAGCCCGGCTACTACATCCCCATTGTCTACCTCGTCGGCGACGACATCGACCCCACCAACCTGCGCGATGTCATCTGGGCCAACGCCACCCGCTGCCAGCCCCGCGAGAACGAGTACTTCTTCGACCAGTACCCCAACATCGGGCTGATCCCGTACGTGTCGCACGGCGCCAAGAGCGGGGCCAACCATTTGAAGGTCGTGCGGTGCTGCATGTTCGCCAGCGAGTTCTCCGAGGTGCCGACGTATAAGGAGGCCTCCTATCGGGGGAATTATCCCCAGGAGATTCAGGACAAGGTGGATGCCAAGTGGGCTACGTATGGGTTTTAGGGGGATGGTGGATTGGAGTCTGTCTTGCCCTGGCCTCAGGCACGAATCCAACAAGAACATATATACAGATTCTGTACTTTAGCTGAACATCACGCATACATGCTATTTACATGCATTACGCAATCAGAGCAGCACGTATAACAGCTTTCTAGAGAGTATACTAATATCAACTTGTGCGATTCTCGCTTATGCAGAAGCGAGAAAGAGAAAAAGTAAAGAGAGAACAAAACGCAAAGAAGGGAAAGAGAACAAAGACCCTGGATGAATGTGCGAATGCACGGGTCGTGGACTGGTACAGTCGGAATTTTGGCCGGATCCGCGAAGCCAGGTTTCGGCCTATTGATCGTCGCATTTCAAAGAACTTGGGCATGAGGGGCAATCCTATCTAGCACTGATCTTTTGTGTTCGGTCAGCTACGAGTCCATAGCAGATTCTTGTGTGGAGATATTTCAGACGTGGAGTTGTTAAGATGTCCCCAGACCTATAGCCTGGGCATTATCAAAACATTACTCCCAGGTTTTCAGCCACAGTACTGGCCTCTCAGGGGATAGCGATGGCAGGGAGATGTTGAAAGCTCTTCCATAAAACGGCAAGAAGGGAAAAGGAAGAACCCCAAGCAGTCTCTCCACACAGTGCCTAGTATCTATAAAAGAGAAAAGCACAGTCCAGTCACCAACCACCCCCACTCCAATCCAAATACGCATCCAGATCCCCCAGCCCACCCAACTCGCCTCCCTCACCGACACCGACCCCCAACTCTCCAACAAACCTATCCATCCTCCTTTTACCTCTCACCTCCACAAACGCAGCAGTAACATCGTACAAGACCCGAAAAACCCGTCCATACTTCCGACACCGCGCGTACCGAGGCACGCGCACCAGCCGACCCACTCCATCGACGATCCGCCTTAAGATATCCAGATCCGACTCCTCAGAACCAGGCGAGTGCACGAGCCCACCGAGCAGGATCAAAAAGGGCATGACCGGCGCAACGAGTAAATTCTCGGTGAGCCAGACATCGAAGCCAGGAGAGGACGGCCACGCCGCGGGGGCGGCGTCGGCGTCGGCGGCAAGCATGGTGGTGATGCAGGCGTCTGTCTCAGCGAGGGAGAGTCTTGCTGCGGCGAGGGATTCAGGACTAGGTTTTATGCCCTTATCACCGGAAGAAGGCGCTGAAGAAGGAGGTTCTGTTTCAGGGGGGATAGCTCGATAGATCGACGCCAGGACCGAGTACTCAGTCGCCCGGTTGGCGTGGATGATGAAATCACTCAGGCCGGGGGCAAGGGCATCGCTGGTCCATTGTTCGGGGTGTTTCTGCTCACAGCGGACAGGATGAAGAATCAGTGGCTGAACCTCTTCTACCCCGACCAAGGAGGTGTATAAAAGTTTAAGGAGAAGGACGACAACGTACATACAAATCCCCCCGCGCGGCAATGACTCCCTCCCACTCACGCGCCACAGCGCGGATCCGAGACTCCCGCACAGCCGCCGTCTGCGCCAGCTTCTTCGGACTACAGATCTCGTCGTACGCCCGTCCGTACAGACCGGCCACCTCGATCCAGTCCGGCAGCCGGTTGTGGAGAAGGGAGGCCATCCGGCGGTCGAGACGGAGTTTTGGTAGCGTGATGTCGGCGTCGTGGATCGTGGACGGCCGGCCCAGACGCAGGGCGAGGGCTTTCTCGAGGACGTAGACCGCCCAGAAGAGGCGCATCTTCCGCTGGATCTTATCTTCATCCTCTTCGGCTTCTTCTAGTCCAGCGGGGCCCATGGTAGCATGAGGGCTGTGTAGCCCGAGGGCCTGGCTGATAAGTGAAGCCTTGGAGATGAAGGACCATGCGGTAAAGGGTTTGCCGTGCTGGAGACAGTGGATTGTCTGTTTACCCAGGAATGAGGATACTTAGCATTTCTTTTATCCAAAAACCGTGACTGATTGTAAAGGGGAAAACGTACAGCCATGTACATAGCACACACAGCGTCCAAGCTTGTAGCTACATGGAAGGACAGACTACCCAGAAGGGTTTCCAGACTCTGTCGGCAAATGAGGGCTTCGGCCTCGTAATCCTGCTTGAGCAGGAGGTCACCTCTCTTGAGGTTTGCGCATTCGGCGAACAGCCAGGCAAGCACGTAGTGCACAATGATCAGCTCCATATCGGTGATCGGGCCCGGCGAGCACGCTCGGATCACGTAGTGGGTGAAGTCGCCCAGGGATCCGAACTCGAAGGGCCAATAGAGCTGACTGGATGAACATTCTATGCTAACGCGTTTAGTCTTGGAACAATTGCAGTTGCGGCTAGAGGGGAGGGGGATAAAGTACACGCACCGTGAGCGAGTCTCAAGCAGGCCATGATCCGGTCCAGGGAGGGGATCGGCAAGTCTTTCAAGTCTGGGGTCAAGTTTCGGGGAAGCAGCTCCGCAAACGGCTGCGAACATTCTAATATCTGGTTCTGTTGTGTCTGAGCAGTTATCGTGTCCCACAGGCTGTTCAGTGCGGTAGTCAACTCGGGGACATCGCTATAGGGAAGGTGGGTGTCCATCACCGCCGCTTGGAGGCATTTCGCAGTGAAGATCACATGGGCGAAAAGGGTCGATTCGATTCCTTCCACGTGTGTAGAAGCAGACGAAGATGGCTGGCTGGGTTGGTGGAATGAAGGCTGCAATGGCAGACGCAGTCCGGCTGAAGTCGCATGGCTGGAGTGCTCATGGCTCAGTCGGCCAACTACCTCTGCGAGGTGATCAAGCTTATTCGCGATGTACTCCAGTCTCCTCTCGCTGTTGGCTGTTAGTGCTCAACCTCAATTGAAACAGCTAATAACGTACTAAACGCTGGAAATAAGAACGCGTTGTCGCTTCTCTTTAAACTTATGCCCCCGGTTGTAGGTACAGTCCGACCCTGTTCGGATGCACTGCACACAGGGGTTCACGCGATCGCACTTGGTCTGTCAACAAGCAATCAATGTTTAAGTCTGGAAGGTGTTGATATTCGAAATCTCGCACCTTCCGCTGACGACAACGATCACACTAGGAAAGCGTTAGCATTCAGCATGCAGTACTTGGTACAGAGACCTGAAAGCCATACAGCCACCTTCTCCACCTCAGGGGAACCCTCATCAAGATCTTCCTGCCTTGCCCTCTTGCTACTACCAGTAATACCGAACATGAGGACTCAAGTACAAGTTCCACCAGTCATTGCTCAACCGAAAAGACAAACGGTCAATGGGTGTCAACGAGTGAAGTCGAGCCAGCCCGAGACGGAGAGAGAGTTTTCACGGACCTCGGAACGCCAAGACTGCGCTGTCCGGGCCTCAACCCTATCCAGAAGCATGTATAGAGAGTATAAAAAACACCTCCTCGATCCACCTCAAACATACACATACCCTTCATCTAGATCCCTACGCATCTCATCCTCACCTCTCCACCCCCCCACCAAACCCCCAAATCTCCAAACCACCAAAGACCACCACCAGAATGCACCACCACGGCATCGTCTACGACGTCGGGCTCAACTTCACCAACACCTCCCCCGAAAAAACCCTGTCCATCCCCACCTTCAACCCCACCCAAACCACCCAGGACATGCACACCATCGCCCAAACCCTGCACGCCACCGCCGTGCGCCTCGAAGGCGAACCCCTCGACCGCCTCGCCACCACCGCCCGCCTCGCCCACGCCGCAGGCCTAACCGTCTACTTCAACCCGTGGAAGATGCACGCCGACATCGCCGAGACCTGCCAGTATCTGGCCCGCGCCGCGGAAGTGGCCGAGCGGCTGCGCGTGCACGACGGGCTGACCGACCTGGTCTTCGTGGCCGGGTGCGAGTACAGTATCTTCAGTCGCGGGGTGTTTCCGGGGCAGACGTTCGAGGAGCGGGTGGCGTGGTTTGCGGCGCAGCTGAGTGCTACCACTGTTAGTCCTGGGGGTGAGACCGGTCATGGCGCTGGTGCTGGTGCTGGTGCTGGTGCTGGTGCTGGTGCTGCAATCCCACCCTCCGTGCTCGCCACATCCCCCCTGCTGAACGCGGCGCTCCGCGCCTTCGTGACAGAAATCCGCACCCACTTCCACGGACCCGTCACGTACGCCGCGGGCACCTGGGAGGCCGTGGACTGGGACCTGTTTGATATCGTCGGGGTCGATTACTACCGTCGGGGCGAGTCGGCGCGGGAATACCTCGCGGGGCTTGAGCGGCACCGGGTCATGGACCCTAGCCACAACAACAAGCATCATAAACCCCTGGTGGTGATGGAGGTCGGATGCTGTGCGTACGAAGGAGCGGCCGTCCGCGGCGATGGCGGCTTCGCCTTACTCACAGGTCGGAATCCTGATGGCAGTGGGGTGTTTGAAGGGGATATCGTCCCGACGCGGAGCGAGCGCGAGCAGGCCGATTACCTGGAGACGCAGTTGGGGCTGCTGGCGAGGCCCGAGGCGCAGGTGGATGCCGTCTTCGTGTATGTCTTTGCGTTTCCCTGTATGCCCGCCGGGGTCGGGGCGAGGGATTTCGACATGATGTGTTTCTCGTTGGTGAAGTACTTCCCGGAGGAGAAGAAAGGTGATCAGAAAGCGAACGAGACTGGAAAGCCTCGATGGGTGCCAAAGGAGGCCTTTTACCGTGTTGCTGAATGCTTCCGGGCGATGCGGGAGAAGTCGCAGCTTGTAGGGTAATGATTTGATGTACAATTACAACATACAATCAAGAAGAATGACCCTTACAGGAGCTCATGCAAGTAAGATCACCAACAGATAGAATTAGGAATTATAACAGGATCATAATACAGCGAGATAAGTCGTCGGGATCATAAATCACAGCCCCAGCCAGGTCCACCGGCGGGCTTGTACTTTCTCTCTCGGCCATTCCTCCAAACACGCCTCCACCACGATTCCACAACAAAAGTTATCGACCTGTGTATGGTGTACGGGCAGCTCCCTCGCACTACCATTTCGTCGGGCCAAAGGTCCCGTTGGTCAAAACCGTCTGGATCGCCGTACCCATCGTGTCCATGGTACCACTGGCAATGCGGGTGCCCCACCAATCGGGGAAGCTCGCGCCGGTGAGGTCGATCGTCAGGAAGATCAGGATGGTGCACAGGTCTAATCCAACATCCAACCCGGCGGACAAGATGTAATTGTAGTGCATCCACCAGCCGCGGAACTTGTCGCGAATATACTTGTTGAAGATCATACCCACGATACCCCAGGTGAGGTAGTTGAGCGGGGTGGCCGGGGGGATAAGACCAGCGCCACCGAAGATCAGGGGAGCACTGAGGTACCGGATCTTGGACTTGGGCCACATGCGAGCGGCGAGGTAGACCATCACGGGAAGCAAGGCACCCGCCAGCCAGAACCATTGCAAGTTGACATACATCTGACCCGGGGAGAACATCCGCTGGGGACCAATGAGACCCCAGATGACCGAAGCGTTAAAGAACACACGGCCGTTGGGGCAGGTGTAGTGGTTGGGCTGATCCAAACTACAAACGTCCTTGATGGTCGCGAGACCCCAGTTCATAACGGCGATCTGGACGATAGAGGACCACAAGGCGGCGACCATCTGTCCGGCAAAGGAGACACGGGGAGGGATCTTCATGTAGTGGCCTGGTCAAACAGTCAGTCAGGGTGCGTCATCTCGCGATCGACGAACAACATTGCACATACCTAGTTTCATGTCTTGGTTGAAATACAATCCCTGGTACATGCTCATGTACCCGTAGGTCTTGAACAGCATCATGGCCATGGGCTTGCCCGGCTGGATATACCCGACAATGAACTCGGTCAAGACGTTCAAGCCGAGGGCAACGTTGGTGGACGCCTGGATGATACCGATGGGCACGTACCAAACCACGGCGATGATCAAGGCCACGAAGAAAGCCCACCAGCTTAAATGGGTGGGATATCCCAGCACTAGACCAAGGCCGATGGCCATCATAGCCACCACCACGCCCCCGTACCACCAGAGCGGAACCGGCTTGAAGCGAGCCATCAGGCGGCCGTGGACATCCTCCTCCTCCTTACCGAAGTTGCGGAAGCGCACCCAGAGCTCACTGCCATGGAAGAGACCGGTGTTGACAAGCAGAGCAATAATCGTAGCAAACGAGAGACCATAGCACAGGGCGAAGGTTGTGGACAGGAACAGCGGGGAGTATTCCTCGTAGGCCTTCAGGTCCAGGGTGAACTCCGGCGTCATGATGCGAGAGACGTTGTACGTAGTGGCCGTGTTGTCGTAACTGCTGGAATCGCTGATAGGCAGAAATTGGGCGAACCATGTTCCACTGTAGTGGATACCAGCGGTCACGATCCAGAAGAAGATCACCATGCCGATGAGCGTGTTGGCGATCGCATGCCACGGAGCGATCAGGGGACTGAAGTTGAACCCCGAAACTTGCGTCCAGTCAAACGTCATGGGGATCAGCGACAGCCCAGTTGCGCCGCCAAAGACCTGGTTCACGACCGGGTTCTGGGGCTTGATCCAGGTAACCCAGGCGAAGTAACTCAGGAACGGCGCAATGAGACCCGGGAAGAAGTACCAGCAGAAGGACCCGATCATCACGTAGAGGAAGAAGCGGTACTTGCCAATCGTCCATCCATTGACCTTGGATGGGTCCGGCTTGCGGGTGTCGTGAAGAGCTGTGAACAGGGCGCAGTTGATGAGGTTGGAGGGCCAGATCATGGCCGCGGGAGCAACCAAGAACCGATGGAAGAAACCCGCCATACCAAACCCGAGCATCTGGGTCGAGATACACATGAGGATCTCGAACCCCCATCCGAAGGACTGCTTATAGAAGGCGCGCTGAGCCAACAAGACGTCCGTCGCATAGGCGGCACCACCACCGAAAGTCGCGTTGGCCATGATGACAATGAGGGCATGCTCTTTCTTGCTAAAAGGGCCCGGATTGAGGTTGAATTGACGTCCAAACAGACTCAGTTGCTTGTTTGGCATGAACTTGGCCCAGGCAACACCCACTGGGTAGGCGACCACCTGGGCGACATATGACGGAATGACAATGTAGGGGTTGCGCATGGAGAACAGCATGTTCAGGGCCGAACCGATGGTGGCGAAGATCATACCGATGGTCCAGGCGCGGATGGTGTTGGTGTGACCACCTTCGTCATAGTTGGGCACAGCAGCGCGCACTTCGGGGTAGGGCGAGTCGTCCAGCAGCTCATGGGCCATGCCCTCGCGCGCCCCCTTGTCGGTTGTGTGGAGGGCTTCATCGATCTCGTCGGCGACCTCATCGGGCAGATTGGGGTCCCACTGATGCTGTAGCTTCAGGTTTTTGAGGTGAACGGCAGTCTCCCCGGGGGCTGTCTCGTCAGCCACCGAAGTGGAGTAGGCCACTTCCTTCTCCTGCATCGTTGTGGTTTCAAAGCCACACAGCAAGGGTGAAGGGTGAAAAGAGAAGTCAACGACTGAGAGACGAGACACTCAGTAAGAACAAGTAGACAGTAGATGTTGATCTGGGGAGAGAATCAAGAAAGAAGAGCGACGAACAGGCGGAGGAAGGCAGGTACATATACCGCCCATACGACCTTCCAATCCTGGTTAGCCACCATGCGATATGCAGTGAAGGCCGACGGTAGCCCGGTGAATTTATCGATGGCGAAAATCGAAAATTAGATTAAATCGCTGATAGGAACGGCCAGTGAATGTGGTCGAGGCTATCTTGCGGCTATCAGCCAGCCTTAGTGGTACCCCAGTTCGTTTGCCATGTGCTAGTGTTACCTGGTAGGCTGGTACGGCGTGTTCACTAGGTTACCACTAACACACTGGCCAGGCATCTTCCAATCATGGAGATTACTGGCTTGGGTAGCGAAAACCGGGGGAGACTAAAGTAGTCTTAGACTTGAGCGTGGTCAGGCCATGCGTAAGGCGTGTGCCACCTGCACGGCCCTTCCCATCCCGCCCTTCCATATCAGCTTCGCTTGCAGCGTCCGCGTCACTGCGCCCTTCAAACCAGAAAAAAGACCGGTGAACAGTAGTAGTGACAGTGACTCACTGGTCGAACCAGAAAAGGGTAGTTTTTACGTGGTCACGGGATGGTTTCAGTGGAAATACAACTGCCAAGAGTGGGGAGTTGAGGTTGCTAGCGACTGAAGTTGACTAGGGGGAAGGAAGTAGGGAGGCTATCATGGCTGGCATCTGGAGCGGGAATAGGGCCAGGCCGCCAAATGCATTGACCCGGGGGCCGAGGTTCTAGCGGATATCACTCTAAACTCAGCCCGAATGCAATCACCAGATAAACCGTATTATCAATTGGGTTCCGATCTGTGGGTGGGAGGGAGGAAGGTTAGCGGAATCGGAGAGGCGTACTAATTGGATAAACAATGTACACATGAGTAGTAGGTTCGCCTTCGGTGGCAAGATCAAGAAGAAAAGAAGAAGGGGGGGGGTAGCAGAGCTACTCCCCGCGTGCATGAATGGTCGAGATGGTCTCGATGCCAAGTGGTATGTATGTAACGCTGCAGCGGTCGCTGATAAGTGAAGTTTTTCCCCGGGGTCAGCCAGACATTGTGGACCGGCGCACTATCCCCCTTTTTGACTCAGGCTTGTTCACGATAAGCTAGCGAGGCGCCCTGGACTCATTCTTGGTTGGTGCGCACCAATCCGGAGTAGGCCGGTCAAGCCACCCCATCCTAGACTACCTTCAGCTTGGCTAATTATTGGCTTTCGCTCCCAGAAGTCTTAATGCAGCCAGTTGGCCTAGGCAGGGATTGTTCCATCCTTTCAGGTCGGTCTTCCGTGCAGAGTTCCGATGGTCGGGACAACCGCCACACGCCGCTGACACCACCACACTTCTCGATGAGGATGGGGCAACAAGCTCTGCGGTTTCAATTTAAAGACCTGGGGGCTTTGGAGAAGAGTCTAAGAATCCCACACTGGGTCTCTGGTGAGAAGACTTCATGCAGTGGTCGAAGAAGGTCTCACAACAAGCGATAAGAAATGTGAAGGCGGTCAGCTCCGGGAAGATTGTGGTAAGATTGATTTTAGCCGGTTCCGGAAGGTATTTTTGGAGGTATTGGGTAATATTTATGACGAGCGATATGCGACGCGTGATACGTTTGATAAAGGTGTCGGGGCACCGGAGTAAATCCTCGCTTCCTCCGTAGATACTCCGTACCTAACTTACTGGATATCTTCCCCCGCCCCATGCGCCGCCGCATTTGATCTTGGCGCATCCTTGCTGGTTCCTGTCAGTAAGGGATGGATACACTCATGAACACTGAACTAGCTGACCTAATCGCACACTAACCTTACGCAATGCTGCTGTATGGTCGTGAACACACTCAGGTACCTTCACTGTGCATAGCTTGTTGATTATCTGTCGGACTCTGACTTAAGAGCTTCGGATGTCGGGAAATATCAGTCTTAATTGGGACGGACGTAAGTGTTGGAAAGTGCGGACGGCTTCCCAGGCATAGAGGATTTCGCCCCCTTTGCCTAGCCGGTTATGCTGTGGCTACTTCGTATCTCATGCATCATGTCTGACACACCATCCTGCCATCCGACTTCCCATTCCGGGAATCTCCGTTGCCTCCTGGGCACGGACACCGCTTCTTCGGTGTATATTCGCCAGCTACCTCTACCCCCCTTGGACTAGCTCGTGTTGTACTTCTGATTGAAAGTCGATGTCCGATGCTTGGATTTACCGGCTCAAGTCGCTGGGAACGCAGGTTGTTACGGATGGCAGGGATGCCGTTCGGTAATCATCGCCTACGCACGGAGGATGATAACAACAACCTAGGCTTGGGCCAATTGACTGAGCTCGCGATAACGGCTTCGGGCTCATCTACGCGTGGGTGGCCACTTCGGCCATAATGAAGGTGCATGCCGCTCGATACTAGCGTGCTCAGGTCGGAAGCAATGAGCTGCTGATCTGGTCGGCCAGAATAATGTCCCTATGCTGTGGTATCGGTGGCGCAAGCTCGCTTGCAGGACTTTCATCTCTCCCGTCTTCGATCGGGCCCGCTTGGCATCTGTGGCGGCCTGCCTCTGAGACGCGTAGGCACGTGTGTATGGTAAAGATGCTAAATACTCTGAGCGATCTGGTCTAGGCTATCGTCCCTGCGGCAGGCCAGGCCGACCCATATGGCTCGGTCGGTTGCAGGAGGCCGTCGTTGCTTAGTGCCCATTCGAAGTCTGCAAGGAACTGTTCGTCGAACAACACGGGATCATGTCGGTCCACAAGACCACAAAGGGCGTTGGACGGTCCGCTTATCTGGTTACTAGTAGAGTCGGCTGTTATCTCCGAGTCAGTGGACAGATTGCCAATAGAATTGCGGGGGAGCAACGCACCTCCTTCAGCCACAGTTGCTTGAGCTGCGCTAGAAGGATAGAACTGTGGCTCAAATTCATCGCGCCACCACCAGATCGTATCGATAACAGGGCTGAGGACGAGGCGGCTGCGGATTCGGAGAGCGATGAATCCAGTCCCGTCGGCTTTTCGGAAAACCTTGGAGCTGTTCCAGAGCTGGTTCATGACTATTGCGATTTTGGACGCCGTGTCATGAACATCCACCGACATGCGCTTAGCCATGTTAATTGCACTGAAGAGGGCCTTTCTTCCTCTCGCAATGTCAAGATCAGGGTCGTTGGAGCATTTGAGGATTCGCAGGAGCGCCGATGTCGGAAGGAGAAGTCCATAGGTCATTTGCATTGGAGCACTAGCAAGGTTGGCCATGCTTTGCCCAATTTCCAGGATACAGTCGATCGTCCTACAAGCCGTTGTCGCAAGTCGTGTGAGACAGTCAGATGTATATATGGTCTGATTCTTGAAAAGGTGAAACATTTGGACGCACAGGCGACACATAGTTGTGTGAAATCGATCGTTCGCTGTGTGGCGTCAGTCTTGAGCCAGCATATTGAGGTCTGAACATGTTACCTGAGTTTGCAAGGGCCTCGAGCTCGGTTGCCTGACGCTCGAACGTGCGCAAGAGGATATCAAACGACTTTTCCTGCTCAGCTAACATGGTCCGAACCCCAAACTCCAATACGGCTGCGCTGCATCGGGCGATCAGCTCTAGGCACCTGAGCTCTAGTGCCAAAGATGGGGCAATCTTCTGGGATAAGACTTGTTGCTGGCCCAGGTCTTGCTGCAAGTCCACCGTTGACCGAGGGCATTGTCCCTTTGTTACGCACGCGCTACCGACCATCAGAATCCTGCCTCCGGATTTAAGGAGTAGCTTACCGCTGATATACAGCGACACAGCGTGCCCATAACTCAGATCGTCTAGCCATGTCCGCTTCCGATGGTGCAGGTATCTTTCTCTTCGCAAACTCATGACTCGACAAAGGGATGTGCAATCCATTCTGCATTGCAATGTGCAGGAGCATCCCGCTCAGCGGAAACATCACATCTGCTTTGTTGATTTCCTTCGGGAAGGGCCAAGTTAGGACCAGCAACAACCCTTGAATGGTGTGCCAGGCGGGAGCCGTCGATGTGACCGAGAGCAAGGCCATCTCGGTGATATTGGGTGAGACAGCCATGAGCAGCGTGGGGTTCTCGGTGTATGATCTCGACGCAACGCCGATTATGGCCCAGAAAAGGAAATTCGACTGGGCGTGGTAGGCGTTCGGGTTGGTTTGAGGGTCTAAGATTGGTAAAAAGCACGCATAGTCCCGAAAGAACCTATCCTGAGATCAGCTTCAAATCTACCATTCTATAGTGATCTGACCACGTACAGTCGGAACAGTTCGTCGATCTCAGACCCTGTGAGTCTGACATTCTTCAAGGTGCGCGGCTCTGTAGGGTCAGACACCTCGACTGGCACCACTTCCATTTGGGGATAAGATAAAGTCGGGCTCATTTGGGGTGTGAGCTGGGAGTGGTAGGGGTTGGTGGTGTGTGGTTGAGGAGGAAGATTCAGGTGCCCTGCGGTCGGTGTGGAGTGTACTCTCATCTCCGCCGCTGCTGTCAGCATGGCGATGGGAGACTGCTGCAGCGATTCGGAATGAGAGCATCTCAATTTCCGGCGCAACTCATCGGTTTCGTGTTCAAGTTCAGAGAGGCGTCTATACAAGTTATAAGAGCTTGGTCGTTCCGTTCCAACCACTGAGCAACGTACTGGCGCTTGTGTTCTCTGCGAAATGGGTCCGAGATGACGCAACGGGTTTTCATCCTTATGCAGCGGGAGCATGGGAGATCCGGGTTCATGTAAGCGTCACATTTCGCCTGTTGCAAAATACGAGATGAGCAGGATCACGGAGGAACGATGGAGCGATCATACTTTCTGTTGGCGACACTCGGTGCAAGCTTTTTTGGCCCGTCTGAGTGCGGGCCTGGGATTGCTGTTAGATGAACCAATCAAAAGACTAGCTCAGCCATACTCACGTGTTTGATGGTGTCTCCATGACTGACGAGACAGTCTGTGTCAGGCTGCGAAGATTTCGACGCGACGTGGGATGATGGTGGTGGTGTTGTGAACGTTGAGGATGTCGGCGGGCAAGGCTAGCCGGCGGAGCTTCCGGAGATAATGCCATGTCTAATCTCCGGGTCAGTGCGGCCCCCCGAGGTGTCAACTTTACACTATGACACTGAGTAGGTATGATGAGTGTTTCTAGCTGCGCAGTCAAGTGTATTACATGCCGCCTTGTACAAAGCAGAAGGTAATGCGCGTGCTTTTGCTATTATATACTCGGATCGACACGTCGACTTCCGATCGCGAGACTAGACCAGAACGAAGAGCATGATCACTAGTCACGGGTAAGCTTAATGTAGAGTCTCTGAAGGGGTATGTTAAACTATGACTCGACCAATATTTTATAATTCATAGACCATCGGGAGGAAGCAAATCATCTAGCATGGCAGCCAGATGCTGTCCGGAACCGGAGATGTGGAAATGGGATAGAAACTGTTTTGGTTGGTTAGATCAGCCCGGTACCGGCTGTGATGCGTGCCTCAGGCCAGAGTATCCCTAACTCATAGTATGTGCCATCGATTCAATCTTGCGACACCATGTCATGAGACACCCGATGTATCAGCTTCGAGAGTATGCTGATTCCTAGGGTTGTAGATTGAGTGTGCTGAAGCTGAGGTAGCCTGCTCCTGCCTGAAACAACACCTCCAATTCCTCCGACTCGCTATCGAATTCGATAGTGGATTCTTCGTCTTGTTGCAAGCAACTTCGCTTCGCGCTGGAGAAACCACAACTATGATCAGTTCAAGGAGTCTCTGAGCTGAAGAATCCCAGCAGATCTCGAGCAAGCATGCAGAAATAGAATCAAAGAAACGAAACTCTCCATATAAGCTCCCTTTATGCTCATTGTAAGACTTGAGCAGCCCGTTCATCCCACCTCCACAACCGAAACCCTTAAGCGGACATCTTCAGCTCCAGCAAGTCCCCATAAACCCCATTTCATGACCTGAACATAAGTATGACCCCCAACGCTTCATCTCAGGAGTTATCGTCTGAGAAGGAAAACCTACAATCACCACTTCCTCCAACTTCCCGTTTCACACCACAACCGACCATGCACTCTCTCGGCAAGTGTTTCTACAACCATCCTCAACGTTCCTCATAACTGGCTTTATGACCACCTCATCCTCATAAGCATCGCAACAAAACCCTCCCCCTGAACCTCCCCACCTACCTCACAATGCACCTCGCCCTCTGGATTACCATCCCCGCAGTCCTCTACAAAGCGCGCTGCCTCACCAACCGCCGCTACGCCAGCTGGTTCCGCCACCGCGTCCACCTTGACGTGTACTACTCGCTCGCCGTCCTGGTCTACGGCCTTCTCCTCCTGTACTACCTCATCCACCTAGGCGGGGCCGTCCTAGCGCTGAGCCAGAGCCCCGCCCCCGACACTTAGCATTGGCTCATCAGATGAACCTGGCTAGCGAGTCCCCACCACATAACTCGGGAGTCGGGACAGTCTAGGGCTGAAAGCAACGGCGGCGGAGCGAAAGCAGCCCCAGGGGTATGTGGCTCGCTGGACCCATCCGCTGCAAGCACAGCACAGCACCAGCGGTTTCCTCCATGAAGTAAAGTAAATGCTCTGGCTCATAGTCCCATATCAGATGGAAACAACTCAGCCCTTACGAACAGCTGAATACGCTGCGGGCGTAACCTAGCTTCCAAATGCGCTGCGCAATATGAGAGAAGCGGGCAAGCAATGAGCGATGGGCGCAACCTACCAAACTCGCTTGTCTGATGCATCAGCCCGTGGCATACCAGTATGCAGTGCATAGCATGTTCAGTACAATTGCATAGTCCCCAAAGTGGTAGAGCCTGAGCGGCTGCGGTGCATTGTTGCAGTTATCACATTCGGCAACTGGTCAATCACCGCAGCTCAACCAAGACCGAGACATTCAGGCTGATATCCATGCCAGGGACCCACCGTAGATCCTTCCCCCTCAGAACCCAATCATCAATGATCGGAGACCTGCCGACACACGATTGCCAAAAAGTAATCAGACACCAAGATAAACCACCTCCCAATTCCAAATACTTGGGCGCGAGAATGACAGCGGGCGAAGGGGGGGGGGGAATGGTTAGCGTGAAACCTTGACTCTTATCGCGGGGGCACAACAGCGACACACTCGCGACCCATTGGCTGTGGGGGGAGCTTCCCATGAAGCGTGACAAATCAGTGCATCAGCGCAGTGAGACCCCAATTCGTATCATTCGTATTTGGAATATTGATTCTCCATACCTAGTAGTAGTGACTGGTCAATCCGGCTGAAAAGTTGCCAAGTGACGCAAGTGAACCCCCTCCAAAGTCTCGCAACCCCGCCATGTCGTCAATGAGTTGATGATCTGCCGAGAAACACCCAAACACGAGAGCTGCTTGCTCCCTATAAGTACTCGACGACCTCGCTAGTCGTCTCAAAGGTCCTCATTGAGAACCTTGCTCGCCTACCAATTACTGAATCCCTCCACATCCTCCCAAAATGCCTTTGACCGGTCACTGTCTGTGCAACGCCGTCACCTACACCATCGAGGTGGAGGAGCCCGCCCTGGTCGGGTACGACCACTGCGACGATTGCCAGCGGCAAAGCGGCTCCACCTACTGTACGTCTCTGCTGCTCCAAAATCGAGGGCATGCTAATTTCGACTCGTGACAGCGCTGGTCGCCGTGGTGCCCAAGGACAAGCTCACGATCAACGGGCCGACCAAGAGCTGGGCGGGGCTGGGGTCGTCGGGTAAAGCCGTGCACCGCATCTTCTGCTCGGAGTGCGGCTCGCCCATCGCCCATGACCCGGATGCCGCCCCGGAGATCATCGCCATCAAGGCGGGCACGCTGGACACGGAGATCAAGAAGAAGCTCAAGCCGGTATGTCACGTTCACCTATCAGTCTCGACACAGAATCCGGAAGGTAGTTAGGAGGAATGGTCTGACGTAAGCAGGACACCGAGATCTGGACGGTCAGCAAGCTGCCTTTCTGCCAGGAGCACTTGGCCAAGCCGTTCAAGCACATGCCGGAGTAGTGGATCGATGCGTGATGTCTGCGGATGGGAAAAGTGAACGGAGATGTTACCAGAATGTTGGCCGATGGCCATGTAGCTATGCCCGGCACAGAAATGATAATTACTATGTGCTGTAATATGGAATATGGGTGCATTCTTCCACAGCTCAAGCATGCTGACATTTCGACCGATAATAAATAAGCAACACGGTCGCATTCTTGCCCAGCCCTAATCAAGCATACTGACATGGCGTCGCGAGAATTACCCCAAACGCCAGAGCAGTGTCCGTGCACTCAAAACACCAGGTGTCCCATCCATCCCGCACCACCACCAAGCTCATGCGGTAGCTCTATATGCCCAGTGACTCAACTCCTCACCACCACCACCAACAACTCTACCCTCCAGCCTCCCGAAACCAATCACCAACCAAGCCCTAATCATCCAGAATTCCCCAGATGTTTCTCAAGGAAGGTCACACCATCATGCGACCGCAAGCCACCCGGCGTCAGCACGGCTGACCAATCCGTCTGATTTATCAGCCATCAGCCAAGCCGATTTAATCTAATCTGATCAGCTATATAACCCTAACAACACCATGACCAACCTGAGCGGATGAACCCTTCACCTCCATCCTCACCTCCTAATCATCAACAGCACCCCCCAAAAAAGCAAAATGGTCCAATACCTCCTCACCGGCGTAACCGGCGGCCTGGGCGCCCACGTGCTCGAGTACTTCCTCGCGCACGTCGACCCGTCAACCTACGCCGTCGCCTCTTCCAACCCAGCCAAAGCCTCCAAATTCACAGCCAAGGGCCTCGCCTTCCGGGCGGTCAACTACGACGACCCGAGCACGCTGGCCACGGCCTTTGAGGAGGTGGAGAATTTGTTCTTCGTCAGCTCCAACACCTTCGACAACGAGCGGCGCCGGAGACAGCATCAAGATGTGGTGGATGCCGCCAAGCGGGCGGGGGTGAAGCATGTACGCACGCGTCCCTTGCCCCCCCCCCCCCCC